AAAAAAAAAAAAAAAAAAATGAAAACCCAGCTAGCCTTTTTGTCCTCCATTTATTTCTTACAGACATCTCGTCAAACTACCATCTCTGCAAACCTATTCTCTGCTCTTCGGAATTACAAAAAAAAAAAAAAATTCAGTTTACAAGCACAAAACACGCAAGATTTATATAACACAAAGACTACTGTTTCAAAAAAAAAAAAAAGCAATCATTATGCTTAAAAACGACAATAGATACGCAATTTTATTGAAAACTTTAAAATATCGCTCCCAACACCAATTAACTAATAGTTATCACCAGTTCGAAGATGAAATGCTCGACCCTGCTGAACCACTCATTCTCATGCTCAACCACAGCCCAGCAAAATGAATATCTCAAGACTGATTTTCACGCCCAATAAATTTCTTGCTGTCCTTGATGCTAGTAAAAATCCCACTCAGTAACTCCCAATCCTCACTTAATCAAAGACAATATTGAAATAGACCGCTTCTCTCTTTTTCGCCTTCAGCTGTCAAATTACTGCACGCCTTGAATCCTTCTTGATCTTTTTTATCAAGAACTAAACGTAAACAGTAGCCTCAACAAAAATTCAATAAAATGAAGGCGCTAAACCATGATCAACTGCAGTAAAAACTTCACGGAAACATTTCATACCTACAGCTAACACGGTCATCCTAAACCAAAACACCTGCGTAAAGAATATGTGAAGCGTACATTAAGGAGCTACCGTACGGCACCCTGTAAGCCCGCGCACTCTCCATCTTCTTAAAGTGCACCACGTTCCTACACAGTCCAATTCACCAGATTCCTATGTCTGAAAAATTACACTGGCTCATCCCACTACCAGCAGCAGCTTGAAGCAGAAAGCTCACAAGTCCCTTCCTAGATTTTATTTTAAAAAATGACCCATCTCCCTGCAACTCATCCAAATCGTCCCATTAGAATTACTCGTTGCTCATCTCAAGAGATGCACAGATACATTTAATCTGCGGCGCTTTTACTCAATCTGCTCCTTGAAAACAAACTTTTTATCTTAGCACAAAAAGAAGCGACTGACAAACACCCATCTTCCCAACACGCGTCTTGCACAGTATATTTTGTTTCAAATTTGCAACATCAATAACGATCATTAAGACTATGCTACTTCCCGACAACAGAATTGATAATATGAAAATCTGGAGCTGTTAATTTTAATTACAATCGTGAACTCTCTACTTTCTTTAACTTACATTGCCTCCGCAACGGATACTCGGTTACTGTACATTGTAATAACCCTGTGAAAAATCACAATTTAAAATAATACTGATCATTCAACAAAACACTGAAGTACTGGAACCAATAAAACGCTGCTTAAAACCACTTAAAGATATTCATTGCACTTGTAACCGATGAAAAACTTTTGCAAAGACAACAACTTTGCGAAGGGAATATTGGAAATGGCCGTGAATAACTTCAAAAATGTTTTAAAAACACCACCAAAGAAAACTAAAGAACTCAAAAAAACTCGCGAAACAGCACCTTCCCAAACTGCCCTTCCGACTAGAACGAACAAATTCGCTACTGAACTCAAACTATTTTCAATGTAGCCAAAGAAACTGAGTGAATTTGATGCAATATTTTATTCCTTTGACGGATCTGTCATCTTCCCATATTGTAACAACAGCATTAGTGTATCATCTATGCAAAAAATTAAATAAAACCAGATTCCGTCTTTGTTATTTACCCCCCAAATATAAATTTGTAAGTAAAACTTTCAAAAAAATCATACCATACAACAACTTCCAAATTCAGCTCTCCAGCCACGTGATAC